GTAATACGAGTAATTTTGAATTAAATTTGCAAATTGAAATTTTGCATAAAAGCACTCAATGCCCACGCACACTCACTCACCCAATGCACCAGGTAAATATGAACAACTTGTGACGTGATTGAAATTTTGACTCTGCATCTCCTCCTGATCCGTTTCGCGATGATAGAAGTAGTTGAAGTTGCTGACGATTACAGGGACGGGCAGTGCGATGGTCAGTACACCAGCGATTACACACAGCGAACCGACAATTTTGCCCCAAAACCCGACAGGTCTGTTGAGTGCGATGTTGATTGAAGTAGTTGCAGTCAAGAGTTCGAATTTCGTTTGATTTTTATTTTTGGTTTCATTTTATAAATTTTTTGTTAAAATTTATTTATATATTTTTTTATATTGAGTAAGGGTTTGAAAGAGCAAAATGTATATTAGTACACTTAAATTTACTATAGGCTAGTTAGAGAAAGGATCGGCATAGTATAATACGCTAAGTTGAGAGAAAAGAGTTTAGACACCGATTTTCGTAACTTAGAAGAGTTAGAGCGCGGTTAACCACGCACGTGTACGTAGAAACATATCAAGTTTGCTGTTAATAGAAAGAGAGAGAAGCAACGTCTACTTCACGGTCATGCGGTGGTGAGTTTTTGTTAACACGCAGATCCCATAAGATAGATCGTGTCAGCTGACACGTTCTCCGTTTTTACGTATGTACGTGGGTAACTGCGCTTTAACTTTTAAGGCAAAATGAGATTTACGCTAGTAACACGTGAGCATGTGAAACTACAAATTTTTACGCTAAACGGAGTGTAACAGAACTAAAATTCAATTTGATCGCGATAGTAGATAATGAAATGAATGACAAAATGATAGAAATATCTAGTAGATAGAGATAGAAAGCACGCCAGATGGGGACTTTAATGAGTACAGTAATGCGGTAAAGGTATACAGATGATAATGAGAACTAGACGCAAGTGTTTGATGAGCTGAGAAAGAGATGAAAATGATTTGGACTGTGTGAGCGAAAGGTAGAGAGCTACAGAGAGAGAGAGAGTGTGGAAATGAGTTATTGTACTACATACTTCTGTAATAGAAAGAACACCAGCGCTAATGGTCAAACGCAATGGCAAGAAGAACAAATGAGCATTTCGAAGTTTGTGCATTTCAATGTAATGAGTGGCAGGTGGTTTGACACATTCACTATTAAAATGGGTATATGAGTATCAACAACTTTAGTGAATGGTATTACGTATGTACAAATGTATGTATGTAAGTGTTGGCCTAGTGATGGTCAGAGGTGAATTATATGTATGTAGCTGTCATTACTTGTGTTAAATTACTTAGTTGTCATTAATAAAAGCACTAAGCTGATATGGTTTCAAATTTATTTTTACTGGATGTATTAAAATTCTTGGTAGATAAATATGTATGTATGTATGTTAATTTCAAAACTTACATTCAATGCTTGCGTTTATTTAGGGGCTTTTTTTTGTAAAATTAGTGTAGCGCTTGTTCGTCATCTCAGTTGCTGTTGTTAGTGCGTTTGTTGTTGTTTAAGTCACTTATTCTTTATAACGTTATTAGACTGCTTGCTTTTTTTTGGTACTAGTGCATATATATAAAAATCGCAAAATCGCAATAAACGTGCTCAACTTTCTTAGGTTAAACAGTTTCGAAAGTATCGAAAAAGTTCAAGAAACTATTAAAGAAATGGCACGCAAAATTTTGAATCAACTTCATAGACATGCATTTATACATAGTATTTAGAGTAAACGAAAATTAAACGACGACAAGTATTTTCAATACAATTTTTTACTTAAACCATAACAAGAACTAAATAAAATATGTAGTTTAAAACGTCATTTACATACGAAATGTTGAAAAGAAAGGTAATTCAAACAAAAAGAAAAAAGTAAGAGACGAAACGAAGAAATACGTTCAATGGGTATGTAATCGATTATGAAGACAATAACCATACACAGACACACATCAAGAAGTAGTAGTTAGAATGAAAATAATTTTATGTTTGTAAGTTTTGAAAAATTGAACAATTGCGCGCAATTTTTCCAGAAAACAAACATTGAAAAGGAAATCGAGTTTATTACTTACCACATTCACACATTTACGTATTTACATTTTACAGTTTCATGAAATCTGGCAATCAAATTACTTTTACTATAAAATAGAACTAAAATACTTATTATACTAAACTTTACAAAGGCTTTAAGAATTGTGAAAATAAAAACTACTTTTTTTTATTTCCTAATTAAAACACGGTATCTTAGTTTTTATATATTTAACAACACCCTCGGCACAAAAACGAAAAATGTACAAAGACAACTGTGGCAGCAGGGATTTCACTGCTTAACTTTTTGTGATATACATTTTTATGAAAATGAGAGAAAATTCGAAACTAGTGGCGCTTAATATGAGTGCAGTTTGATAAGTCAGTGACTTTTTGAATTTCCCGCTTAGTAACTCTAAATGCAGCACTGCTTCTGTCAACTACTATATCATCATAGTATTAAGAGGTGGTCTTCTGAAATCCATTATTATGGTACCAGCATTAGTGACTCTGAACTTTTGCGTCCCGCGAAAGAGGTCGCCACGCCAGAAATTGTCGTTAAAATCCATTAAATAATATTGGGTGATCGGAGGTTGAGGCTGTAGGCATCTCCACTGAACGCGTACATATAATTGTACATGAATTTTTGGGTATGGAAAAGCTGTCTGCGCGATGATGGCAACATGGCGGGATTAGGGATGTTCCGATACAACTAAATACGAGTACGTACTGGATATCTACTTGGTATCGAAAGAAAAGTACTTGTATCGACTATATTTGAGCAAGTGCCATATTTTGTTGGGCATATTTTTTCCATGGAAAATAATTGCTTTAAGCAATGGGTTTTTAATAGAGTAATGGAATGGAGTAATCGTATTACATCTAGTGTTACTAGTGAACAAATATACATATCGATACCTCAACTGAAAATACATTGAGAATATTTGAAATAGGGCGTTTTTGAACCGAGCACTGAAATAGGGTGTTATTGAGAAGTTTTCTGAGGTAGGACGTTTTTCATAAACAATTTTGAAATAGGGCGCTGAAATAGGAAGCAAAAACGATCTCCTACCTAGGCAACGCAAGGATGTACAAACAAAGAAAGTTCACCGTACATCCCTGCAGGCGAATTTCGAAATTTACTGTTTTTTTGGGTCGCCTTTTTACATTTATTGGTGATACATATATACGGAAAATATTTTTTTTGTTTTAAGTAAATAAGAGCTTTGGTAAATTATAAGTACTTTATGATGCGAGTGTAAATGTCGAGAATATACCAAAAACTATAAAAAGGCGACTTCTATGTTCGACTCAAAAAATGTCTTTTTTCGAAATCACCATGCAAAAAAACTTTAGACTCAGGAGTGTACGGCGAAATTCATGAATTTGAAGTCACGAACTAATTCCTAATTAAGCATGTTCTGCAGATTTAGCTCCCTGCACATATTTTCTGCTGCCAAACTTGCAAAAGTGCTATGTGTTAAGAGATGTGTGTGACAGGATGGGGTCATCACTAAACTGTTGCCTATATTGTGGAACCTGAGGAAACCTCTCATTAGCTGGGTAAAGTGTGTCGAGCCGAACGAAATAAAATTATTTTTTGCTCCAAAATATATTATATTCAAAAAATTACTGATTTATCAAACAGCACTCGTAAGTAAAATTTCATGGCGTAAAACCTCTAAAATCGTATTTAGATCATCCAATGCTTTCATGTGAGCTTTTGAGCGACTACTTCTAAATATTTGCTAAAAGTGTACTATCAGTGAATACTCTTGTTTGAGCTTTGGGGAGATAATGATTTTAAAAATAGCTTAGTTCCAGGTATATCATAAAAACTTATAAAGCTTAAATTGTGGAATTATAAACGAAAGTATGCAAGAGGAACGAGCTTTTACCACACTCCTGTCAAAATCTATAGAAAGATTAAAAAAAGTCCAGATCGCGTGCTCATTATGTGACCAACTCTGTTCTAAAAAAAAATTAAAAGAATACCGTACTTCGTGATTTAAAGACTTGTGAGTGCGAGTATATTTTACGTCCTACCAGCTAAATTTGAAAGAAAATTTGTTAAATTACCAATTGTGTTTCATCTGTGTTTCTCGCTTTAAACTTTAAACAGAAATATGAACAGGATTCAAACTTTATACTGATAATATTAATCAGAGCTGGTCACATACGTACCGCCCTTTTTAAGCTTTCTTTAGACTTGGGCAGCGTAAAAGCGCTTACGTCAACTCTAAATGGTAAATGCTGGCACTAATGGTATTCCTTGCCGGTTTTTACAGGCTTTTGTGATAGAATGGAATATTTCTAATATGAAAATGTCGTGCTTTTTTAAGCTTTATATCCATTTCTGCCCAACAATGTTTCGCAAGGATCTTGATCAAAGCTTTGATTTAAGTTTTTGCAAGCTTCTTGTTTCGACCTTTTTAAGATCAAAGACAATAAAGCCAAACTTTCTTGAAGCTAGATGAATTTATGTAGCTAGGATACAAATATCAATAGACAGAGAGAGAGAGCAAGAATATTTAGAAGGGAAGGCTTTTGCGGCTTACACTGTTTAAAGGGGTTTTAAGGCGAGCAAATAAACTAACATTTATCCAAAAGATACTGCAAAGAATATTGAAAACTTCTAGAACCTAAATTTAGATTAATAACAAAATTTATGCAAACAGTTTGCGTTACTTAAAGTTTTGCGGAAAAAATTTCTACACCTGTATAAATGTAAGTAAGTTCAAAGTTCAACCTACTTATATGTACATGGAAATGCNAAAAATTTATGCAAACAGTTTGCGTTACTTAAAGTTTTGCGGAAAAAATTTCTACACCTGTGTATTTATATGTAAGTAAGTTCAACCTACTCATATATACATGGAAGTGATTTTTTTTTCTAAAATTTACAGTAAACTGATTTTCCATTAATGTATATTCTTACTCAAATTTAATTGCAAAAAATGTTTACTTTACTACTTAAAGCGTTGCGTAAGTAATGAGAAAAGAAGAGAGATATCCCATGACTAACAGAAGCCATAGAAAGCTTTAAAACTATTCTCCCGCGGCAAATGTTTTGGTCGCGACTGCTTCAGAAGCTTCTTTGGCTAATTTGTAAAGTAGAGCTTGTGCACTTTCATATGAGCTTTACCGTCAAAGCTTCAAATAAGATTTTACTTTTGTTTTAGAATACAAATTTTATTAGACAAATATGGCGAAAGCACATCTTGAAGTATGTGAAAGCTCTTTATAAATACTGAAATAGTTTTTCATACTAAAACCATTTCGCATATGTATGTATGAATGCATTAGACCATGTGACCTTACAGACCAAATAAAAAGTTCACATTATACCACTGAGTCCGAAGTATTGTTGCAAGGCAATTTAATTTTCTTTTGGCCGAACCTATGGTTCCCATTTTTTTAAGTAATTCTACTGGCATAATCACAATACTTGCTTAACAAAAGTTTAATGATTTTTGGTGAGCTTCAATGTACTGACATTAGGGTGGTAAGTTGGGGTGATAAGAATACGAACGATGTATTGAGCTCAATGAACTTTGG